GGTGGAGTTAAGTTATGACGTCATATTAGTCAAACCATTAATAAAAATGGCCACCAGTATGTACTTCCTGACTATTGTTTATTTAGCTGTTTCATCTGGTGAATGCAGGCTCTACGAAGCTGTAAAGGTTGCAATCGTGGTATAATGAAGGCAAACACTCAATCAAGTTTGTATGCAGTAAATGCTTTTGTGATACACTGATGTTTGAAAGTGAACAAAACTCAATGAGAGATTGCAGCCCATTTTGCAAAACCTGAAGAACTTTTGGCAAGTGATGGAACATACGTCAATAGAAAATAATATTATAAAAACAATCATATTACTAAAAATTAAAGTACTCTCATCATGTTCAAGAATTCTTTACTCAGTTTTCAACCATTTTAAAAAGTTAAGTAAAGTTTATTGCATCTCACTATTGAGAAAAAATTTGAAAAAATTATATGTTGTAGAAAAAGTATAAAGGAAACAATTTGTGTTCCGAAAACTAAATTGTGCGTTCAGCCCGTTGTACCTTAAATGGATTACATTTATTTTCATTTGTGACAATAATTGACAAAAGGTACCTTAGTGAAATTTGTCTTTATTGCCAAAAAAATTCCAACTTTCTGAGCTCTATTCATCATAAAATTACTCCACAGGATGCAAAAAGTTACTATGTAACATTTAGAAACAATGATTGTCCAACAGAGCACTCACAGGTTGATATTTTTTTATTATGATGAATTTTACAATCCGTCGTAAGGTACCTTTTGTCAATTATAGTCACATTTGATCCTCTCTCTTAGAGTTAGGAATCTTGGCATTAAAGAAATTAACAGGTTGAGAAGTCAATTTTGAAAAGACTTACCTCAAATCAAGGAAAGTAAAGGAAAGAAGAGAAAGATTCAAGTGACTGGTGCTGATGATGATGGTGAACCTTGTAGTAAGTATGTCAAGGTGTCTGTAAGTCATGTACAAAGTAATAGTAACAGTACTGTTGGTAGCAATAAACATAAGAGTACTAATTTACAAAAGTCTAATCGCCCAAAAAAGAGTTAAGTACGTGAAGATAATGCTTTAAATAAGTCTTGCCTCAAAAAAAGAAAAGTTGATATGGACAGTACTACTGACAACACTGCTTTGGTATTGCCTTGCTCAAATAACATGATAAATCAATTGTTTCAATTAATATTATATTAAAAGATCTAAAACCAATATTAATGTCAAAGGTGATGATAGTTGTAGTAGTCTGATTGTATCTTTAAAACTTTCAAGCATTAAATTGAAACTGAAAGATGATAAAACCAAGTATGTTGTAAAAAATTACCATTGTAGTAGAAGTCCGATTATATCTATAAGAGTCTGAAGCATTAAATTGAAGACAAGTATTCCAAAGAAAGATGATGTCATCTTTCCTTATGAAGAGCCTCCCAACCCTGATATTGTGTGTAAGGACACAATGGGATTATGTTTATTACCCTGGTAATGAAGAATTTCAAAAGAGGTGGTGTGAGATTTTAAACCTTAAGTTTGTAACAGCTGCTAGAATCATGTCTGGTTGTCAAACAACACCTTTGTCAGATGAAAGAGTTCCTAATAGTACCCTTGATGTCCCTGATGATAGGAACTGTTTATTTTATGTACTTTCATATCTCATTAATAGGTCAATTTCTCAGCATTACGAATTACGTAAGTAATTGTTAGTAATACAGTGGAACCTCTGAATAACAAAACTTTTGGGACACAAGAATATTTTCATTACATAGAGGTTTTCAATAAAGGGAAGTTTTGTAAATGAGGCATCCCCAATGTGAGACTTTACCTTCTTATATAAAATGAGGGGCACTAGTCAGCAGAGAAAGCTGGGGAACAAATTGCAGAACAAGAAAAGAGAATAAGAAAATAAATATGCAGAATGTTTCAAAATGAGGGATAGGCTATTTAAGGCTATTATCTGTGCTCCTGGATAGTAAGATGGCATAATAGTGACAGAGCATGAAGAGAAAATAGAAAGATGCCATTTTACAGTGGGCGGGTCTTTTTAATTGATTAAGATATCATATGATGTCACAGAACTAAAGGAAGTTTATAAAGTGGCATCTTGGTCAGAAAAGAACTTTATTTTGTAACAGAGGAGTTTTCATCAAAGGGGGAGGTCCATTTTCATTGAAAAATGGAAAAATGAGTTAGTACATTTAATTATTTTCATTATAAAGTGGTTTTCGTTAAAGAAAAGTTCCGTTATCAGTAGTTCCACTGTATGCCAAACTTCGAAGAATAGTTTGATAGTACATTAAATAGAACCAGATATTCACCATATATGATTACATAAATACGTCCAAAATGTATAGAAATTATGTGTGGGCTACTCAGACAGAGATTGTCACAATATCTGCAATATTAGGTACAACAATATTCATTTACTAGGCCTACTATTGTTGGCTGGGCTAGATGTGGTACCTAGGAGTTATATGGCATTCCTTGTAATACTAATACACCTGCTTTGTATTTGAAGCATGTTGGTACTAATCATTTCCAAGCAGTTAAGTCTATTAATAATTCTTAAGCATTGATTGTTAATAAAAAGTGGGTATGGTGTATAGGAGGTCCACAATCTTAATAGTGTTGGTTGTTTAATGTGACTTATATCTGACTGCATGTGCAATTGACAGATGTGTGAGTGTGTCTGAAAACCATTGGTGCAAATCCACCCAGTATTGCTGAGTATGAAGAGATCTAATTGCATTCAGAAAGTAAAACTAATCAATGTATAACAAATAACAGTAAAAAATGGACAGGGAGAGGGTGTGAAAGAGGTTTACTGTTCATTAGAGTTTAGCATTGATTCAAATTTGTGTGACTATCATTTATGTAGGACAGAGGATTAGGAAGGGAAGAAGCTTTCAATATCAAATGTAGATATTGTTTGTGGCTTGTACTACATGTTTATGACAAATAACTGGTGCTAATGGATCAGGGCTCTGTTGAAAAGATTCATTTTTAAGTTACATTAAAATTTGTTATTATACATGTAGTATTATTTAAGCAGTGATTCTGTACATATAATAATGATCATCTTGCATGTTAAGGCTGCCATCAATGCTGTGCACATTACATATGTAATTGCTTGCCAGCTGATGTTGCACATAATGCTGCCATCAATGCTGTGCACATTATGAAGTTAATGCTTGCTGGCTGATGTTGGGCATCTTTTGTCGATGATTCAATCAGAAACATTGTAGATGCTACCACTGTCATTATTACTTAGTTAATGTCATATTCATATTTTTAGACATGTACTTACTGGGCACAAAAAGTGCATTATGGTGGTAAAGATTGAGGTCTGACTTGGAATGAGATTCAAAAGGTAAGAGGGATGTTTCTCTTTGTGAGCACATGTATCTTGCTTGTGGTTTTCAATGTATGTTTGTGCCAAACAATTGGTATCATGCATATACAATTTATGTTTAGTATTATAGCATATATTGTACATGTAGTAGATTATTTGTGCATTTCTTGCACTTGTAGTGTTTGATGATTATCAGGCATGACTTCTATCCTTTTTAAGTTTGATGTGTATAACGGAGGAGCAAGGAATAGAAAAACTGATGTGATTGGTAATAATTTATTACTGTTTAATTATTACCCTGTTTGTTTACATTGCTTGCCTTTGATATGTTTCTATTACTATGCTTTAAAGGTGAAGATAGCTGGAAAGGATTTGATGATTAAGTTGATTGCTTGCAGTTTGAAATGTGCAATGTAACATTAGCATTAGTTGTAACATTATTATAGCCTTGGATTATAGTTAGTCTTAAAAATTTAATGTTAGATTTCTAAATTTAATATTGACTTTTGTAGATTATGAATGACAACGGCAATGTGCATGTTTGTGTACGTATTCAGTATGTCAATAATAATGACTATTAGCTAAGAGTTTTTTAAATCATGCATCATGATAATGTGCATTCTTCACCTAGAAATTTTGAAAGAATCTAAAGGGAATAAGCATTTGTCTTGTCAAGCACTTAGCATTGCTAAAGTATTTTTATCCTGGCTTTATGCTGATGTATTTGTAAGTGACTGTTTGATTATTTTTTAACATTTATTATTATAATAAAAAGTTTTTAATAAAAGTTGTAGTTCTTGATTGAGGCCCCTCAGGACCTCAGGAATATAAATATAATATTAAGTACATCATAGTAAAGACTTGCTATTTGTCTGTTCACAGCCCTCAGCTGGGCAATTTATGCTGCCTTTGCTTTTGCAGCAAAGGCAGGAGGGGCTCCTCCAGGAGGGAGCATGGGTGCCACTCCAGGAGGGAGCAATGGTACCCTTTCCAGGAGGGAGCACAGGCTGGACTCCATCTACTTGAGGTGGTGGAGGTGAGGGGCCTCCAGCTCTTGCGAGTGCTGGAGGTGGTGGTGGAAGTGGCCTGCCTAGTGGTGGTGGTGGTGGTGGTGGAGGCCCTCTATCTCCAGCTACTGGAGGTGGTGGACCTCCAGCTACTGGTAGAGCTGGTGGTGGTAGCAGGCCTCCAGGAGGTGGTGGTGGAGGCCCTCCATCTGCAGCTACTGGAGGTGGCGGACCTCCAGCTACAGGTAGAGCTGGTGATGCTAGCAGGCTTCCGGGAGGTGGTGGTGGAGGCCCTCCATCTCTAGCTACAGGAGGTGGCGGACCTCCAGCTGCTGGTAGAGCTGGTGGTGGTGGTGGACACGGGCCTTACGGAGGTGGTGGTTGTGGAGGCGCTCCAGCTACTGGTGGTCCTCCATAATACTCATCATTATCCATATACTACCAAACAATATGAAAATATAATGATAGCTAATGTAAATTGGTATATGAACTGGCTTGATGCTTTTTGAGAAAAAAGGTTGCAAAATTGCAGGAAAAGTTGAGAGCTGAGAGTGTGAGTTGAGAAATGGCAACTGAAGCTGATTGTGAACTTAAAAAGTTTTAGAACAGGAAATAGATCTTAGTAATGTTCCATAATGATCAATAATAATGAGCTATGATAGGCTATGAATATAATTTATGTTTAAGAAATTCAAAAAAATAATTGTATGAAAATTGTTTTTTACAAACTTGGTGCGAAGCCCCAAGGTAGTTCCTACGATTCAATTCAGCCCCCGCAATGTAAAATAATTGATTGTATGTCAACACTTACATTTCTTCTTGTCTTCTATATACGTTGTATTGGAGAAATAACAATTATGACTCTCTTAGCAACCCTCCACCCAGTCCCCATCACGTAAGTGGGTGTTGACAAGGTAAACAAAATGGCTCGGAAGCAGAAGAAAGTTGAGCTTTCTAGCTAGAAGAATAAAGCAAGTATCATGCCTAAAGACTTATCAAGAATCACTAGAAAGTAGAAAGAACCTTTATAAGTCTTAGTAAGAAGAAATAAATGACTACTATGCGCACAAAGTGGTGAAATCAATTTAAGGACAATTTTCACACTAATACGCTTGTGATGATGCGGTAGGTCTTTTTATAGTTATTTCAAAATTCTTTTCTTCCAGCAATGAACTGATACTTAAGGCAAAAATTATAATTGTTAATAAAATAGATTATTATTTAACAATAATAATGAATAATTATGAGCATTAATTAATAAATATAATAATTTATAAAAATAGTACAAAAATTTCAAACAGTACTTTGCAGAATTATATGAAGTATTGCTTTTTTTAAAGTGACAAAATTTAATGAAAGAATGATAACCAAACTACTTAGTTCCAACCTACACAACTGTGGCGAGTCCTATTAAAATTCTTATACATTAATATTTTAATTTTTAGGTATTGTACCGAATCACAAACAATAAAGCATGCAATAGCCAAATAATTATCTATAATTTAGATGTTTTAATTGTCATGACAGTAATTTATTCAGTCAATACTAGCTGAAAAGTTTAATTCATATTTCACAAGATAATTTACATCATAGAAATGTAGCAGAGCAATCAATAGGTAAAAAGACATAAATATCATAAAAATTCTATTTCTGCCTGTTATCATTATCTGCAAAGTAGGGTTTGACACCTTTGTACTATTTTTATGATTTATTATTTTTTGTGAAGTAACGTTTGTTATTATTAATTGAACTATTAATTATTATTATGGTTGAACTAAACCCTATTGTTTCTTATATTTTTTGATAACCCTACTTTTTCTTATTTAAGAGAACTTTTTTAATTTACTTGTAGAGATGTCAAACCATGATAAAAACTCTATTATCTATGATGATTGATGAAACTACCTAGCATCAGGGTTCTCTCAAAGAACTACCTCCAAACGATCTATGTACAACTTGGGGCCATTGAAACAATAAATGCAAGGAATAATAAGGCCATATCTTCCACCACAATTTACCCTTGCACTAGTGACTTCTGCAAATCCCACATTAGTGTCTCTGCTTAAGTTACTTGAGTGGATAATATACATATATTATTTGAAATAGTGAACCTCTCAATAAAGGGCACCCATTTAAGGTACTTTTGGATGAAATTTTAATATTTTTTTAATTGATGCCATTTTATAGGAAATAAAAAGTTGTACACCTTGTGCTATTTTTAAATTTTTACCATTCACTGTATATAAGTTATAGATCATTGAACTTTAAATATAACAAAAAAAATTCCTTGAACTTTAAATATAACAAAAAAAATTCCTGCATAACTTTTCATACTTTATGAACTTACTTGTTGCAATTACTAAGCAAATTTATTTCCCTTTTTTCATTGTAGATTCAGTTGCAGTTGAAGCTGATATTCTCATTTGCCTTGTGTACAGTGGCATTTATCGGACATGGATTTTAACATATAAACAACTAGCAATTTATCATTTTATTGATTGCATGTCATAACACTACTTTTTTCTATTACCTGATGGAGTTTTGTTATCATTAATAATTCTGTTCATTTTGTAGTGATTTTTAAAGTACCATTTCAAGAAAGTCAAAGCATTAATGTTTAGCAATGAATATTGTTATTGCACTAATGAATATACTTACATTAACCATGAATATCATTAATCTTCTTATGAATATAGTTTAATCTGACGTCATCCTACATGCTAAAGCGGAAGTCACATGACTTCTGTGAGTATATTCATGGCTTTTGGCAGTAAAAGGGGTGGGTGTGCCATGTCACTGAAATAAAGATGGCCGTCTGTCCTGTTTGATTCTCTGTAAGCTCCTCCTCCTTCAGCTGTACGCGCATAAGGGAAAGCGTCTATCTCGCCATAGATCTCAGCCCCTGGTTCTCTAAAGTACAAGCTAAAGCCACAAATTGAGCAACAATGCTTCATACTGACATGGTAGCTATCTTATTTACTTTGATTGTAGATCTAAATGCAAAAGCAGCAGAGATCACTTTTTCCTTAGCAAAGAAGCCAGAACCACTGATAAGTTTTGTGATCAAATGCACACTTTATTCCTTTTTAGAAAGGAATACACCTGTGAGTTAAGCAACAAACCTTTGATATAAGGGACAAAGTCATTGTGGAGAGGTCTGACTTTTGAAGACGGTGGTGATTCACTATTTTACTATTCTGACTTGCAACAATATCTTGTTTCAATTAAATCTTTACTGTCACTAGTTTTGCCAGATTAATCATTAAAATTATAACATTAATACTGTTTTATCTATATAATCATATTACTTTTAAAGGGTGTGCCATGTCACTGAAATAAAGATGGCCGTCTGTCCTGTTTGATTCTCTGTAAGCTCCTCCTCCTTCAGCTGTACGCGCATAAGGGAAAGCCTCTATCTCGCCATAGATCTCAGCCCCTGGTTCTCTAAAGTACAAGCTAAAGCCACAAATTGAGCAACAATGCTTCATACTGACATGGTAGCTATCTTATTCACTTTGATTGTAGATCTAAATGCAAAAGCAGCAGAGATCACTTTTTCCTTAGCAAAGAAGCCAGAACCACTGATAAGTTTTGTGATCAAATGCACACTTTATTCCTTTTTAGAAAGGAATACACCTGTGAGTTAAGCAACAAACCTTTGATATAAGGGACAAAGTCATTGTGGAGAGGTCTGACTTTTGAAGACGGTGGTGATTCACTATTTTACTATTCTGACTTGCAACAATATCTTGTTTCAATTAAATCTTTACTGTCACTAGTTTTGCCAGATTAATCATTAAAATTATAACATTAATACTGTTTTATCTATATAATCATATTACTTTTAAAAATGAGAATCATAAAAAATTGATCATTAAAAGAAACAACATAAAACAATCAGTAAATAAAAACAAAAAAATGTAGAGCTGTTAACTTTGTACTAGTATTAGTACTCTCAGCCGAGTTTTTACAGACCTATTAAGGTACACACACATAACTTCAAGTTTAATAAACATTAATCTACATATAGACACTCTAAAAAAGGTAATGTGATGCTTTTAAGGCAAAAATGCTCACAAGGCAAAACTCAACATTTGCAATGGTGCATGCCACATTTTGTTAATAAATAAGCATCCATAAAGTACAAAATGCACTGTTTTATACAAATAATACCAACTACACTACAAAAAAATGTTTACAAAATATCATAATATAGAATTAAAATCTCATAGAATAATGTTCTTAAAAAGCAGTTTTGACACAAGGAATATACTGCATTTAAATTTTGTGCAAAATTTTCATAAATATATATTACAATAATTAAATACCTCAGCCTACTTTAGAATTATTACTACTGTACTTGTCATGAATTTACTACAAATTGAGAGAAAAAGAAGGCTCATGTAATGTAGTACACGGTTTAATGTAGTACATGGTAACATGCTAGTACAAAAATAAATGAACAAGGAGTGTAGATATGACAACTAAAAACTTATCAATGCAGCAAAGAATTATATAGAATTAGGACTTGCGACTAATGAAATTGATTTTTTATAATTGCTATTGCTATGAAACAATCGCCATGAAGGTATTGTAGGTCAAATTTAAAAACTATTTTGCATGTTGCATAGTTCCCATAATGTTATAATGTTAGCTAGCATAATAGCATTATTCCAGCTTGTTAAGTACTCCTCCAGTAAAAATTGTTTTCACACACACACTTACCTACCATGTAAGTTCTGTCGTTCATTTCAGGATAACTGATAGTTACATAAAAAAAAATAAACCATAATTTAAAAAATATAACTTAATACATATTTAGTATAGTTATCTATCAATATTTATGTTGTAATAAGCTTATAGCAAAATACAAGTAAATACATGAAAGTAAAACTAATGGTGTTAGCAAAAGTACATACAATATGAAAAATTTTAAATACATGGTAGATGAAAGGTAGATACATCATGCAATGTCTGGTTATTAATAACAAAAGTAATGATTGCCAGTAATTGCAATGGTAACTTTATTGCCATCTGTGCTCAGGCAATATCAATGCTATATTATTAATGGTCCTTCATTGAATCTGATGCCTTAATGAATCTAAAATCAAGCGTTTATTTGAGACATAATGACAAAATACATTTCACAGTCAGAGACATGGGCATGTGAAAATACTTACTCAGCAACCATTAACACAATCTTTTAAAGAATACGGCAATGTCCATGGAACAAACTGTTTCTTGATTATGAGATGTTCACTGTACTAAAAGAGAGAGAAACAGATGATAATTTGACTTGTACCAGTTGTAACTCTAGTTGTACAAGTGCATTCAAAAAATTAAATTGATTATGTTAAAACGTGTGCATCCATTATACCATTAACAGAAAAGGCAACTTCATTATTTAAATCCTGAGATAGAGAATGCGCTTTTAATTTTACTCTTCGATACTCTATTTGCACAAGTAGGACCTTTAAACAAATTAATTCTAATAAAACAATAATCAATGAACAAATACCATAAGCAGTATTCACACTTAAAATACAGATCCACCTTTAATCTAGTGCCAGTAACACATTTATAAAAAATTAATGAACAAATAAATCAAGAAATAATGATAACAATAACAGAAGAAGCAATCTAAACACTAAGGTCCTTATCAGCA